GCCAAAATGAAACTTGTTAATTATAAGCTTCAGAGCAGTTAGTTATACAGTATGTACAGTAAAGCTAGCAGACTGAATGGTTGTGGGTTTTGGGACCACTGATTCCAAGAATATTTCACCTTTAATTTTGAATGGGGTTATATTTCCCCTTTCAAGGGTGGTGTGCAATCCGAGGCCTTCCTGAACTGAGTTGGCAAGTAATGCCAGGAAGGCTTTGCCACAGCTTTATCTTATGCCTCAGTTGCACCCTTTCCTATATTGGGAAGCCTCTCAGTCACTCATGCGCTGGTCACTTCATGGCTTGACTACTGCAAAGCACTCTACATGGACCACTTGGAAGCTTCAATTGATCCAGAATATAGTGCTATGTATAGTTATGGACATGCTTTCCTATGATCATGTGACATCTTTGCCTCAGTAACTGGTTGCCAGTTTGCTTCCAGGTATGATTCATTAACAGAGGGATAGTAACAAGATCACGTGAAGTATTAATACCACTTTACAATGCCTTGGTAAGGCCACACTTGGAATACTGCATCCAGTTTTGGTCACCGCTATGTAAAAAAGACGTTGAGACTCTAGAAAGAGTACAGAGAAGAGCAACAAAGATGATCAGGGGACTGGAGGCCCAAGCATATAAGGAACGGTTGCTGGAATTGGGTATGTCTAGTTTAATGAAGAGAAGGACGAGGGGGGACATGATAGCAGTGTTCCAATATCTCAGGGGCTGCCAAAAAGAAGAGGGAGTCAAGCTATTCTCCAAAGCGCCTGAAGGCAGGACAAGAAGCAACAGGTAGAAACTAATCAAGGAGAGAAGCAACCTAGAACTAAGGAGAAACTTCCTGACAGTTAGAACAATTACCCAGTGGAACAACCTGCCTCCAGAAGGGGTGAACGCTCCAACACTGGAAGTTAAGAAGAGACTGGACAGCCATTTGTCCGAAATGGTATAGGGTTTCCTGCCTGAGCAGGGGGTTGGACTAGATGACCTCCAAGGTCCCTTCCAACTTTACTACTACTACTACTACTACTACTACTACTACTACTACTATTATTATTATTATTATTATTATTATTATTATTATTATTATATGTTGCTTATAACTTATAAAGCCCTTCATTGTATGAGATCCAATCCGAGGGACTGCCTATCTCCTGTGGTGCCTATCCAGGCAATGCAAATTAACAATGTTGGCACATTTGAGGATCCTTTGAATAAAAATGTTGTCTATCAAGTCACAGGAAGTATGCCTTCTCTTATCAGAGTGCCTGCTCTCTGGAATGAGATTCCCCCTGAAATCCTGATAATTCCCATCTTGTTGGCATTCTGAAGAACCATAGAGAACTGGCTGTTCTCCCAAGCCTTGGGCTAGAGTAGCTGGTTGTCAGTTGTTGATGGAATGTTTCGGGTTTTTCTGGCTTCAGCAGTTTTGCTTTTTTTTTTGCCTGAGTTTGGTTTTATTGTTTGTTTCTCTCTGTTCTATGGTTTTTATATTGTTTTTGTGTATTGCAAACTGTCTAGAGTGGTTTGGAGTCGAGCAACATCAAATCAATCACTGTATATGTGTAAATGTGGTGCTGGTTTTTTTCTTCATGTGAATGGTATATTCTTCAACCTTTTAAAAACAAAAAACAAAATCCTGAGTCTTAGTTCTCTATATAAGGATAAAATATTGTGTCTTTGTATTACCTATAAAGTAAATATTAAATGTAGTCCAGATAAATTTAGAACAGAGATTATGGTCAAGCCCCAAAGAAAAAAAATAAAGGAAGAATGCAGGCCCAATTTAACACATGAGAAATAAATAGGTGCATATATCAGCAATGGTAGCAGCGGCATAAAAGTACTGGCAGTACATTAAAAAGAGATATGTCATCATTTTATATTATATTCCCCTGCATAATCCCTATACTTCTCACTTTTTTCCATAGAATGTTCTTTCTAACAATGAATGTTTTTTCAGTGCTCAAAAGTGTCTACAATGACCAAATAATATCCCTGCAACCTGCTACAGAGGTTGAAAAACACTTCAAAGTGATATTAAACAAGCCTACCATATGTTGCTGATTTAAAAAAAATTCCCCACATTTTTGAGCATGATGGGTTTTTTTATTACGTGTATGTTTCCTACTGCTTAATGTATGGTTTATCATAAGGACTGATCACTAGCCATATGGCTTTTATTATTTATTATGTTCCAGTTATTATTAAACAAATAGATGTGGCTTCCATTAATCCAAAAATATTCTGTGATAATGTTCGTAGTACTTCCAGCTGGTACTGGACACATCACTACAAACACAAATGACAATTTTTTGCTGTGTTTGTTACTGAAATAATAATACTGAGATTCCTCTCTAAAGTTTAAGTGTGAGGGATTCTGGTTCATAGGTTCTAAGTCTTCTTATGTGGTCAATTAGATTTTTCCCTATGATTAATACTGTGTGAGGTTCAGTACCACAAAAACATGATTATTCCTATCTTTTGTGTCTCAGTACACTTTCATTTAATGAGCATCTCACTACACTTTTCTTTATATATTCTAAATAGATTTTTTCCTATCAGTGAGTAATGGTTCATTCAACCGTTACTAAATGCACAAATAAAACTTCAGTTCCTAATAATGGATGCATATTATGTTTGAACTGAATAGTATATTTTACACCTTAAAATCCATTCAATCAGCATAATTTAGAAAGCATTTTACTCACAGAATCCACCAGTTAATTACAACCAGTAATAAGCAGTAATATAGCCTTAATAAAAATGTGAAAATAAACTGAACATAATAAAATATTTTAACAAGCAACAGATGGAAAACTTTAAAAGGAGCCTTCTTCTAGCTTCCAGAAATACAGATTTCATTGCCCAGAATTCCTCAACTGCTATGGGTACAGCTTAGAATTCTAGGAGTTAAAATCACATATCTGGAAGTAACTTAGTTTAGATAAGCCTGCAATAAAAGCTAAGCTTTCAATGACATAATTTATTTAGTCAAAAAAGAGATGAGTCACTCAAAATTTCCTAAGGATAAAGATGGTTTTTACTCACACTAGTCATTGAAATGTAAGATCTATAATTTAGTGCAATATGGTGAGCAGACCTTATCTCCACATACAACTCTAGTTTTAAAATATAGTTAATGTAGGATGTTGTATTCTTTGGCATAGTGGCAATTTAAAAAGCATGCTGTGTTCCATCAACCACATACTTATTATCCGGCATTCAGCATAGAACAGCTACTGTGATGGGAGAATAGTTGAATAAATAAATTCTTCCCACCCCAAAAAGAAAAAGAAAGAAAACGGAAAACATCTCATTTTCTCACTATGGTAGCAAATTCCTAGCATTATTGTACTGTATTTTGCTCCATTTACCTAATTCTGCTGATCGACCATTATGTTTAGAAACTAGAGGTAGTCCTCGACGTTCAACCACAATTGAGTCCAAAATTTCTGTTGCTAAGCGAGATGTTTGTTAAGTGAATTTTGCCCCATTTTACAACCTTCCTCGACAAAGAATTGAGGCCTTTGTTGAACTATGGTGCTGGAGAAGACTCCTGCGAGTCCCTTGGACTGCAAGGCATTCAAACCGGTCAGTCGTAGAAGAGATCAACCCCGACTGCTCTTTAGAAGGCCAGATCCTGAAGTTGAAACTCAAATTACTTTGGCCACCTAATGAGAAGGAAGGACTCACTGGAGAAGGGCCTAATGCTGGGAAAGATTGAAGGCAATAGAAGAAGGGGATGACAGAGAATGAGGTGGCTGGATGGAGTCACTGAATCAGTAGGCGTGAGCTTAAATGGACTCCAAAAGATGGTAGAGGACAGGAAGGCCTGGAGGAACGTTGTCCATGGGGTCGCGATGGGTCGGACACAACTTCGCAATTAACAACAACAACACAACCTTCCTTGCCATAGTTGTTAAGTGAATCACTGCGGTTGTCAAATTAGTAACACAGTTGTTAAGCAAATCTGACTTCCCTATTGACTCTGCTTGTCAGAGGGTTCCAAAAGATGATCCCATGGCCCTGGATGGCGCAACCGTCATAAATATGAGTCAGTTGCCAAGCGTCTAAATTTTGATCTTGTGACCATAGGATGCTGCAACAGTCAGAAGTGTAAAAAATGGTCAAAAGTCACTTTTTTTCAGTACCGCTGTAACAAACTCTTTTAAGACAAGGATTACTTTTACACTTTGAAAGGCAGGACAAGTCAGATGCCTCATATAACCCAATGGAGCAAAACAGGAGGGGAAAAAAAGTTGCTATTCATTTTTATTGCAAGTGAAATTTTCCATTTGCAAAACACCTAGTAGAAAGAAGAGGGCAATGAAGAGCGCGTGGCAATATCACTGTCTGATTGCTGGGAGACTCCAGCCATTCTATAAGCAATAAGATGGATCCCACATCGGATAATGCCATATTCTTCTGCTTTTGTTGGCTTATACTGGCTTGTAAGGAATTATCCTTTTCATTAGAACCTTGAGTCATGCTACTTCGTTAGAATTAAAACCATTCTGAGGTCAGGAATTTGTTTTGAATATTAAAACTGAATGACCCTCATTGTTATTTCATCCAACAATCACTTCCTGTTTATCTGAAGTGCTCTTCATAATTTAGACCAGAGGTAGGCAACCTTGGCTCTTTTATGACTCGTGGACTTCAACTCCCAGAATTCCTGAGCCAGCCAGCATGGCTGGCTCAGGAATTCTGGGAGTTGAAATCCACGAGTCATAAAAGAGCCAAGGTTGCCTACCCCTGATTTAGACCATAACTATAGTTTAAAACAAGAGATCCGGAAATACTACAAATCACCCACTGATTTATGATTAGATCAATTTTACTTTGGTTCCTTTCTAATATAAGTTATGTTACAGTAAAATATAAAAGTTATACACAAAAGTAGTCAGCTGTAAAGCTAAAATAGTAAATGTTTAGTCAGACTTATAGTACGTCTGTATTTATTGTTGATATTAATAATGTGTGTATTTGTTCCTAGATACAGTTAAAAGTTGTGTAGCAAAGTTGTCCTTCAGCTGTCCCCTGAAAGGTCACTACTGCCTGTACAGTAAATCCGGTTTTGCTCTCATCAGTCACCAGCCTCAACTTTGGATCCATATCATGTTTCTCTTTCAGCAGGTGTGTGCAATATGAATATAAACATCATAATAATTGTTAAAGTGGCTGTCAATTAAAACCAGTGTTAACTGTTATCCCTTGAGATATATTGATGTAACTTAATGTTGTTCTGAAGCTACTCACCTCCCACTCGGAAGGTTGAGAGGTCAATCCTAGGCAGCTGAAAGATGCTTGTCTATCAGGGTGCAGAGAAAATATCTGCTGTGAGCTCTGCATAGCCATCAGGAAGGGCATCCAGTCAGTAAACGCTCAGCTCCATTCAGTTGCTTCAACTCCACCCCTATAAAAGGGATTAAGGGTCTTTTAAAAAATTGTTTTCTTTGGGTCGTTTTTAGATCTGGTTTGCACTGAACAGGGATGTAATATTGCCATTCATTATATTGATTTGTTTTTGTTTTTTAAAAAACAGTTTTTATTAAAAGATTTTACATATGTAATTAGAAATACATTCAAATAAAGTGAAAAAATATAGACTGGTAAATGTGGAAACGAAAAAGAAAACAGAAAAAACAGAAAAAAGAAGAAAATAAAAGAACAAAAAATGTGAAGCAGGGTGGATAGATAGATAGATAGATAGATAGATAGATAGATAGATAGATAGATAGATAGATAGATAGATAGATAGATAGATAGATAGATAGATAGATAGATAGATAGATAGATAGATAGATAGATAGATAGATAGATAGATAGATAGATGGATAGACGGATGGATGGACGGACGGACGGACGGACAGACAGACAGACAGACATCTTCCGATTTTCCTTTTGGCAGTAATACATACAATACTGATCAGATCTGTCCCTCCAAGATTTCATCATATTTCCCTTCTTTCTATAACATTCTTTCTATTGTCAAAACCATAAGTCACAAAGCATCCGGATTGTGATATTGAAATTGTTAAGTGTTATATATTCATTTCATAGAGGAAAGGGAAATGCTCACCTACCAAGCAACACTGCAATAAATTCTTCAGATCATTTAACTAAGGTGATAGCAGAGCTTAATACTTCCTAGTATTAATATAAAGTTGTTAAAAGTCTGGATAGTTATGCTATTTTTTTCTGAGAACTGGAAAACTTTTCTTTGCCTTAGAAAATAACGGGGCCAGATTAATTTAGGATCCTACTTCCTTGAAACATAGATAAATTGGAACTAATGGGTTCACAGACTTTGATCCACAACTCATATGCTCATCTATATCAACATATACTGTAGTTTGAGGAATGAGGTCTAGAAGACCTAATCAATGTTGAGTTCAATTAATTAGTTAAGCTAATTATGAATTCATGTTCATAATAATTTTATGAACTACTTATTATCGATCATTCCCTTTGTTACGATATAAGTGTGGATAAAATATATTTGTGATGCTAAAAGTAGATTCATATTATGGAACTACCGCCAACAAAAGCAATAGAAAAAGCAGTCCAGGATCTGGCTTCCCAAGTCCTCCAAGTCTTGCTGAAATATGTAATGAACAAGATGGCTATTGCCCCACAAGGTATGCTCCCATGACAGCCTCAATAACTTGGCTGGATGTCACACAAGACCACTAACCAGTTCCCATTCCATTGGTGCCCAAACCAGCACCTAGTCCTAGGCAAATGAATGCTCTGTAACACTAAGGGTAGGTATACTGAGGCTGCTATCCCTATAACCATGCAGCATGATAACCCCATTGTCATAACCACTATCTGGAGAGAGAGATCTTTTTAATTAGTACTGCCATCTCATCCATCTTGTCCCTCCTTGGCCATTAAGTGATAACTCTGCTTACTGGTAGATCTTCAACCTTTGGTCAGTTATGGCCCTTGCCTCATACAACTTTCCTACCACCTCTCATAATGATGCTAGATAAAGTTGAATATTCTGCTCTTTAAAATAAGGATATACATACATACTGCAAATTGTGTTTCAGTTGAATTGAGGGTTCTGCCAATTACCAAACAACTTTTTGAATGAGGAAATGGAAACAAGTTTGGAGTATCCTATGTAGCAGCCTTTTAATATGAACTTCTGGCAGAGAATAGCAGCTACTGGTTTTGACAGTAGCTTCAGGTCCCATTCACAGTATGGGAGAGTCACTTTCCTGTGATGAGTTCCAATACTGCTGAAAATGGTTTGATATTATAATCACACTGTTTGCCCCACTGCCCCTCTGCATTTTCAGTATACCTGCAGTGTGTTCCAGAGTTACTGGTGTGTTAGCCTGATTATTTTTTGGTCTCTACTGGTAATAAGGTTTATGGTAGTAAATTAAACTTAATTAGATGTAAAGAGAATATTTATTTGCATTCAGCCACAAGCAGTTTCTCTAGTCCACAATGGTTCCCTTTTAATGAGCTTCCCCTTCTGCTGATGGAGCTGGCTAGAAATTCTGGGAACTGGGCAATGCTATAATAATTTTCATTTTTAAAAATGTAATTCTCCTTCTCTCCTTAGTTCATGAGGAAGCCTCTGTACATGCATCAAATGATTCTTTGCTTTGATTACTGTTATGCTTTCTCTTGCTGATCATTCTATACAATCCTAGAGTCTGGGCAAACCAATTAAGTTTTATGATAGAAGTGTTCATTATACTATAATTACTGTAATTATACACACATAAACATGGACCATTTTATTATGGACTGGCAATTAAGTTAAAATGCAGGTAATTTTCATATAGTTGAGCTGTACGTGCTTACCTAGGAGTGGACATCTCTGAATACAATTAACTTTACCTAGTAACAAACATGTATCAGGTTATATTGTTGATCCATTTAATTTGAAAATACATAATTGGAAGCAAATCAGGAAAACTAAAATAAAATTGTTTTCTAATGTCAAGCATAATATTTCAGCTGGATACAAATGAATACTTTTTTCTCTCTGAGACTGCTGTAATTTGAAAGAAGGGAGTCAGTCCCAAATTTTTCTCTTTGCTCATTTTAATAGTTTAAAATCTTTGTAAATACTGTCCATGGAGATTCTATGGAGATATTTGCAAATACTACTTAACCATAAGTTTGAGTTTGACAAAAATAGGAAAGAGAAGATTGTGTTGAATCAATTTGGTTGTGGCTCTGAGAATTAGATTTTGATTTATAGATGAGTCAATGTGTTCTGCTATGATAGATGTTTGGGTTGTGTTTTGCTGAAAAGCTGCTTATAGCATTGGTAAGCTCTTTTATAAACACAGTCTATGCAATTGCATGACCACAATTACACTACGATTTGCATTATCTTACACTAATGCTTAAAGATGGATTTGTCAGAATCATGAAAATCTTTAAATTCATTTAAAATCAAAAGTATGTTGAAATTTTTGTTCTAATGTAAGCCATTCATCCAAATATCTTTATGTTAATTAAGTTTATGTTAATAACTATATAAACTCCCAAAGAAGCTACGCCGCCATTGAAGCAAAACATTACCAGCTTCATTTGAGAACAGCTGTCTGAATATTTTCTCCCATATTCGCTCCAAATATTGTCCTCAGTACTCTGCACATAGATACTGTCATCAATATCTCCTATAGTTAAAAAAATATAGTTTAAAAATATCAGGCCCAAATCATTGTTTGTCCAGTGGTTATTGATTATGTGCCATCAAGTGGTCGTTGACTCTTAGTGACCATATACTGATGATCTATCCCTAATCTGGCCTTTCAAATCTTAAAGAGGAACACTCATCAATGCAGTAACTGAATCCATCCACCATGGCCATCAACTTTTTCTCTCCTTCCACTTTCCCAACATTAGACACCTTCCCAACTTCTCCTGACCTTAAATCCAAACTTTTAGCCTAGTCATTTGGGCCTTGAGTGACAACTCTTGAGTTGATTTGTTTGATGATACCTTTGTTAGTTTTCTTGGATGGCCATGGCGTATAACAGAATAACGGAGTTGGAAGGGACCTTGGAGGTCTTCTCAGGTGTCGGCTCCAACATAAAAATTCAGAAACATAAATACATTTCCTGTCCTGCTTTTTCAAAGCCCAACTTTCACTTCCATAGAGCATCACAGGAAATTCCATATCTTGCACAATTCTGATGTGCATGGTCACAACATTTTAATATCATTTTCAAGGCATTCATGACTACTCTACCCAGTATTAATCTATGGCATGTTTCTTAAGTTTGCCCAATAGGATCATATTTTTAGAATACTGATTTAATTATTAATTACAAAAAAATGTTTTTTGCTAATGTCCAATTTCATCTAGAGATGCAAGGGTATTTAACCTGATACAGTGTGCAGGATTCTTGCAAATGGAAAAATAATACCTGAAAAGTACTGGTTTTGTGCTTGGTGGTTTTCTTGTACTTTGTTACCTAGTTCGATAATGAAATGTCCGCAAGAAAATCACCAAGCTCAGAGAGCACCAAGGACCCCACAGTTGTATCCTGAGCTATAAATATTCTCTTCAGTCAGTATTGTTTTTCTTTTTGTCCATTAGGGCTTGTTTCCAGAACCATTGTCCATGCAGAATAATTCTTTGCAAGTTCTGAAGACCTTGTGGGAAAAAACTCAGCTTAAAGGAACACATAGTTTTGAAACGGCAATGGTGCAATCTACATTTCCACATAAGAAGGTATTTTTTTCTTATAAACCTTCAAGGGGTGGGTATATGTTGTCTTTATTTACTGCAAGAAAGATCAGGACCATATCTCTGAATGCGTATGGTGAAGGCAGTTAAATTCTCAAAGTTGGAATTTTGAAGGTGATGTTTATTGCTTGATATATGAAGCTTTCAAACAAAAAAAAATGGTTACAGAGGATTATCTCCATCCGATTAATCTTTGTTATATCTATGACAGTGGTGGCGAACCTATGGCATGCGTGCCAGAGGCGGCACTCGGAGTCCTCTCTGTGGGCACACATGCCGTTGCCCCAGCCTTGCCTCCCCCCACGACCCCCTCACCAGCAGCCCCCCTGGAGGAGAGTCGCCCCCGAGTGTGGCCCACGCAGAGCAGTGCAGCCAAGGACATGGAAGCCAGGCAGTGTAGACAAGACTGCCCTCATGCCCCATCGTGCACAGTTGATGCTGCGGGGCGCGGGCAGAAGGCGTGGCCGCCATGGCACTGCTGGGCTGCCTGGGCGATTTACAGCGAGCCCTGGAGGTGGTGAGTGGCCCTGCGAGCAGGCGGGGTGGGGGCGGGGAAGGGGTGGAGCGGGGTGGGGCCAGTTTTTGGGCACTCGGTCTCTAAAAGGTTCGCCATCACTGATCTATGATAGTCATACATGGCTGGGTAATATATGAATAATTTATAATATTGTACCTTCTGGTTTGCTAGTAAGGTTTTGATTGCTCTCGCCTCTAGAGTTTTAAGCTTCTTGTGATATTCAACATTTCTTTAATTCCTTCTTTTTATATGCATTGTTTTAATTTATTGTATCTCATCTGTGTTCAACCAGTAAGAAAAATGAAGTCTTCTTCAGGTCAAGCTCAATTCCTGTTGTTATCCTGACAATAATCATACTGTTTCTTGGTTACAGTCTCGACTGCTTTTTGTTGCCTTTTTTTCTATTGCCCAGTTTAGCCTACAGCCCTAAAAAAATCCCTTGTGGTCTCCTACCCAAATCCTAGCCAGGAACAACACTGCTTAGTAGTCCATCCCACACAAGGACAGTCAATTTCTACCTGCTGAGATGGATTAGAAATTTCACTGTATTAATAAAATAAGCATATTTTGTCTCTGAAGATCAGGAATAAAAGAACAGTATCCTTTAATATTTTTCCATGATGCAGCCTTTCTTCACGTGGTTGCTATATGACAGCACTAAATTATGTGATCATAGAATGTAGAATAACAAGTTTGGAAGGGATTGTGGAGGTCTTCTTGAGCAGGAGACCCTACGCCATTCCAGACAAATGGTTGTCCAATCTCTTCTCCAGTGATGGAGCACTCACAGCTTCTGGAGGAAAGCCATTCCACTAATTAATTCTCACTGTCAGGAAATTTCTGCTTAATTCTAGGTTGGATCCGAAGCTAAAGCAAAGTGACCTAGGCCTATAATTCTTCATATAGTCTGTTGAATGAAATTGGGGACCATCTTCCTTATTCAGCAGCCATCTGCCAGATACCTTCAGGAAATGCTAATTTCCTTCTCCCATTGTAGATCTTCAGCAATATACTGTCTGTTATTGTTATTCAGAAATATACTATGAAAATCCTACCAATCTGTCATAGGTAACATTCATTGTCTTTCATGACTAGAGGACAGTGGCAAAGCAATACACAGGAATTCAGTTCTGATCTTTGCAATGTTTCCATTTATGCCATCTGTTTGTAGAAATGTCTGAGTTTTCTCACTAATCTTTTCCACATGCTGTTGATATATGAACGGAAAATGCAAATAAGCTTTTTTCTTATTTACAAAGAGAAAGGGGGAAACTCATTTCAAATAGCAGAGAAACTATCATAATGAATTGTTTAGTTCCCTTTTGCAAAGTCACATAGTTGTGGGTTATGGCAGGGACTCCAGAAGAGTAATTATTTGCGCAGGCTCTGTCGTGTCAACCTTTGCCCTTTGAAAAGATTACTGTTTCAAAGCAATTGCATTTTCAAAGATTGTAAATAATACTGTTTCAAAGTCAGCAAAGAATTTCTGGTCAAATCTATTAATCTTTAATTGGGTTCAATTGAATCTCCGGCATGGAATCTGTTTAAAACAAAAACATATTTGAGGTAAGCCTTGACTGACTACAATTTTCTTTTTTATAACAAGAAAAATATATTTGCAACCCTAACTTCAAATTGCATAATTGAAACCAAGCAATGAGAAATTCTTTCTCAATCCTTCAGTGATGCCTTGCTTTAAAAAAAATCTAGAAAACTTTTAGACAAGAAAAATGCTACTTCAGTCACATAGAAACCCTCAAAAGATGACTCTTCAGCAAGGAATGTTATCATTTCCTGCTTTGATTACCAAAGGTAACCCACAGCAAATCATCAAATAATTTTTAAAGGCTCCTTGGTTTTATTTATTTATCAGATTTGTTTGCCACCCATCTTGCAAAAGCACTAGAGTATTTCTGGAAGCCTGGCACTCTGATAAATTGGCCCTTAATAGACATATAGACGCAAATAATATTTACATATTGTGCAAAAGAGACTATCAACAAGCCAAAAGGGGAACAAAAAAAATCCAAAACACCTTATCACCAGCAATTAACACCCAAATGAATACAGATTAACTCCAAGATTAATATCAGATCAACAGTTAAGTAAACAATACCCTGTTCAAGGAATTGCCAAACAAGGCAACAGTAAGCAACCCAATCAAAGAGCCTCTAAAATCACCCCCACCAACACTGATAGGGCAAGCCACTAAAATATAAACTAAGAGCAAACCCCATTCCTTACTAGCATGGATTATATTACCTAGTTTGGGTAATGAAACATCTGCAAGAAAACAACCAAGTTCAGAGAGCACCAAGGACCCCTCATTTCAACCCTGAGCTACAGATACCCTCCTTTACTGATAACTATTTTAGTACATACAATTATAATGTGAAAGGTCTATATCATTCCTGTTCTCATATCCACCTGGTTCACAGAATTTTCCAGATCTCCACACATAATCTTTGCCTATATATAATCTTGATTTTCTGCTACTTCTTTTATTTTCTTACTAAGAAAGAAAAAGGAATAGATGAGAGAATGATGGAATTGTCACACAATTTTTCTGCTTGGTAGCATTAGGTGAGTTTCTAGAAGGAACGCTACAAACTCAATCTAGAAACATTTTCATCAATTGTTTTCACTTGCACTCACTTCCAAGAAAGTAAGTTTCTGATAATGCCTTTAAACTTATTTATTCTAAAATTAAGGGATTCTATTTGGCATTTGTTGTTTGTACATACAACTATGATAACTATCCTACTAAGTCCCAGCGTGATGAAGGGAAGAATTGCAATTTTACTTTCAGCTCTATGGCAACACATCTGGATTATATCCAACAAGATCTGTATCCATTCCCTTCATATATGAATTCCACCAGCATGCTTGACTGCATGCCTTGCAAGCATGAGGACAAGCATAGAACTACTTTGACATTTTCAATCTACATGTAACTATTAATGCTGCGAGTATGAAGTTATTCCATACCACATTATTTTTGCTTCCTTTCTAAAGCTGGAAACATATTAGCCTCAATTGCTGATGTAAACACATTTTAACAGGCCATGTAGCCTCCTTTGGCAGCAGGCCAGTTTAACTGCCCTGCAACATAAATCTTTTGGACTCCACTGGTTTCAAGACAAGAATATCCCTTTGCGGTAAAAGATCTAGCTTAAACAATTTTCCCTGAGAAAATACTTCTAACACAAAAGTGAACACGAAGAGGTAAATTGATAAAGAGCAAGTTAAAGCTAAATAAATCTGATTGGGGGGGTCTGTTTTAATTTACAGCTGGCCAATTTTAACACAATAAAGCATGTCAACTATACCACTCTGCTACATTTAATCAGAAAGAGCCAGATGTTTTATATCAGTCAAATAATTTTAAAATGCCTGGCATTTTAAATATGGTTAAAAATTCTTCACTGGGGAATTTTTAAAAAAGTTTTTTAAATATTTCTTTTTTCCCCTAGTTGATTGAAATAGCACTTTTAAACACTTGTCATAATTACTCAGGAGGTAGGGAATAGGAAAACCTTATCCTTCACTATCTGGCATAGTTTCCTCAACCTGGATAAATCTCAGTCTTTGCTGGGGACCATGAATATATTTGATTATACTGTATTGTGTTTTGTAGAAATTATTGTCAAGCATTTATATGTAGTCACTATTATATCCTAGAACAGTGTCTATCAACCTTGGCAACTTGAAGATATGTGGATTTCAACTCCCAGAATTTCATAGCAAGCATGCTGGCTGGGGAATTTGGGGAGTTGAAGGCCACACATCTTCAAGGTGCAAGATTGTGAATTACTGTGCTAAAGTGTCCACTTGCATATCTTCTGGGCAGGGACAGAAGAAAAATTGATCCCATCACAATTTTTAGATGAATCTACCAGTTTGATTCTGATAGATATGTGAAAAACACCTAGCATGTAGATGCTTAACCAAACATACCAACAGGATTTTGCAATATCTAGTAATAGATGTGGAATAGGACAACTTGCCACAGCCAACTCACTCTGGTGAACTCGCTGCAACCAACTTATCCGGGGTCAACTCGCTGCTGCACATTTCAGTGTGGGATAACTCAAGAGAGGGACAAGTGAATTGCAGCAGGCCTTGTCCTGCTTTAGGTTTGAACCTTCTCAAGTTAGAAGTCCTCAAGGTTGGGGTGAACCAAAGTGTAGAGTCCCAGTAGGCCATTAGCCAAGGAGTGTGCTCCATTGGCCAAGCCAAGCGTGGCATGCCCGGGTAGTCTCTGTATAGATCCAGGTTGAGGGCATGGTGCATCTGCAAGAGGAGGCCCGCCACCACTTCTTCCTGGCATGCCTGCTGCAAGGGCCAGCTTCTCTGCTGACATTCAGGTACCGATCCTCCACCTCCGGCCTCACCAAATGCAAAGGGCTGGAACGGGAAGTGGTGGGTTAAGTTTAGTTAAGGTTTGCTTGCATGGAAAGGAAAAGGGAAGATTTGGAGCTGAGACAGAGAGAGGGGAAAAGGGAAGCATTGACTAGAGAAAAAGCACATGCACTAGGGGAGATGAAAAAAGAAACAAGCTCAACCAAACAACGTGTTCCTAACATTTCTACTTGGGAGTCACCTTTGTCAACTTTTAAGCAAACTTATCTTTCACGCCAGAAATAGGCATACATATTCTGTAGGCATACAGAAGTAGTCCCTCAAAAACTTGCCAGCTTATTCACCACCATTTTACTGTTTCTTAATTTTGTTTACGTGGTGGAACTAAACAGATTGAAGTTGTATGTGTTGCTTGATTGGAAAAGCCTCGGTTTGGGTGATGTATCGCAGTTGAATGGTCGATTTCCATAAAAATCGAATTTAGGGGCTTACACAGGTTTATTCTAGCTCTGGTGTTCTCTCTGTTTTTAAGACAAAAAGAACGGTTTTCAGGAGTTACAGATATGGCAGACACTCAACCCGAAGGCTGCCTTAGCCCCTTGGGGTAGAGTGGGAGCAAATGGGCTGATCCGGTGAATCCCCAAGGAATCCTCCATTGACCCACCGGGAAAATGCCTCTGGACTGATTAGGAGTTCTTTCTGGCTGAGGAAATAGTGCCAGAGAAATCTGAGACCCCTTTTAAAATAAAGCCGTTGAAGAACCTTGAGCCTACCACTTCCCCTTCCAGCCCTGCGCATTTGGTGACTCTGGAGATACAGGGCCAGTACCTAGATGTCAGCAGAGCAACTACCCCTCACAGTGGGCACACCAGGAAGAAGCAGCTGTGGCAACAGGCCTCCTCTCACAGATGCATCACACCCTCGGCCTGGAACAGTGTAAGAACTATCTGAGTGTGTTGCACTTGCTCCACGGCCGACAGAGCACATGCCTTGGCTGATGGGCCACTGAGACTCTCTGGCCTGTCTCCAACTTTGAGGACTTCTAACTTGAGAAGGTTCAAACCTAAAGTAAGACAAGACCCATGCAATTCACTTGTCTCTCTCTTAAGTTATCCCACATTAAATTGTCCCATGGCAGGTTGTTCCATGGTGAGTTGACAGTGGTGAGTTGGCCGTGGGAGTCAGCCATGGTGTGTTGTCCTTTAAATTAATAGATGATGGTAGAAAAAATAGCTTACAAAAGTTATAGACACTGGGAAAATTGCCTAGAAAAATAGGTATAGTCAGGGCTTTTTTTGTCATAGAATGCCCAGAACGGAGTTCCGGCACCTTTTTTGGATGGAACCTTTTAGGGTAGACAAGGTGGGTTGTATGACATGTGTGACTTCTGGCACCTTTTTTTTTTTTTTTACAAAAAAAGCACTGGGTATAGTTATAGGAAGATCACATAAATATGTGAATAAATATGGATAACTTTTTTATCAAATATCAGAATTTAACATTCAGTTGTAAGGTGAGCTATGAAATGCAAACTAAATTGGCAGAACCATCCAGGTTGAACTCCTTGAGCAGGATGTTGGACTAGAAGACAAGATCCCTTCCAGCTCTGCTATTCTGTTATTCTGTTATCTCTGAGCCACTGAGAGAAATAATCTGTTATCATCATAAAAAAAAGTGTGGGCTTTCTGCAATCCATGTGAATGCTTCCCTAAGTTCCACTGAATTTAATGGGATTTCCTTCTAAATGCATATTTAGCATTGTGCATATAATTATGTGTTATTAATATTTTAATATTAAACCATTAATACTAATTGTTAAAATTGTTGCTAAAACCCAGTGTGTTTACCTTCCACTGGTATAATTTCATATTTATCCCATAAGCAAATTCGTATAAATTATTTCAATGATTTACGTGTGTAATTATTATGACCAAATCCATGTATATCAATCAAATCAGTCTGTATGTCTGTTTTCAAATAAATTTTCATAGAGGGTTGTGTTCTAATTTTCAGTTATGTACATGTCACAGAAAATATTTTTATAGTGTAATGCAAATTTGCTAGTGCATAAATTTTTCCAGATGTATTTACATCCTTACAGATTTCTGGTCAATTGCTTCATGGATATTTTCAAAGGACAGCAGCTATGTTGCTTTTAAAACAAACATTGCAACATTTTCTCAATTCATTGCAAAATAATTTGTATTGGCTTATAGTGTCACTTCTTACTTGTCATTCCTATACTTTTGGAGATCCATAAAAAATAACAATCATCTTTTATTTACTGTGAGAAGTAGGGCAGCTACTTTTATCATTCACATTTATCATTCAGCAGGAAAAAAAATTCAGTAGAACAGCTCCACAGTTCATTATAGGACATCTTAAAAAGACATGCAAAACAAAAAGGAAGAAAAACCCTCTGTGAACAAGAAAATAGGAGATTTCTACAAAAATATAATGATGTCTTCATTAGAAAACAGGGCTGGACACCTATTTTGCTTCCAGGATCTGTAGATGTTGTCAAATGAAGGACAATATCTATATGCACAAGCAAACATGTGATGAGGAAGGGTGAAATCTTCTTCATAGAATCGTGGAAAAGAGGGCTAATTAAAGTTGAAATTATGCAGAGTTTCAAGGCTTTTTCTGCTTGGAAGAACCTTCTTCATGCAAATAGAGAAAGAACTGTAGATCCATGCAGTGGATACAAAGCAACATAAATGATCTGGGAACCAGATTTCTAGATAGGATAGTTGAAATTCATTCTTTCTTTACAGTTCCTATTGCTGTTATGAAGACTGAAACAGCAGCCTTTACTCCAACAAGATAATGGCTGGACCATAAAGAAAAAAAATGGATGAATGTACTGAGCCTTTTTTTAAAAATGGAGATGAAAAATCATGTTCTCGTCATCATGTTGGAATCTGAATTTAAATGGTTTTTAGAGTGATGATGACGAGAACATGATTTTTCATCTCCATTTTTAAAAAAGTCTACAACAGTTCTCAACAATTTGCAGATGGTTTATGTTTTATCTTTAATTAGAAATGAATTAGAAAGCAGTTAATATGTATAAAAGCTGCAGTACAGACACAGTATTCAGAGATGATGTCATAATATTCTTCAGCTTCTTAATCTATTAATGCAACAAATTTGTCTAGTCTAGGCTTTTGTGAGAGTTTCTCTGTAATTAATATCTTAAACTAATGCACAAGAAGAATCTCTCTAAGAAAGGTTTGCTGGGAGAAGGCTGCTTGTCTTCATTATTACTTACTTTGGCTAAACTGAGTACCTTGTGCCATAATCACTTAAAAATAAGTGCTCTGATTTCACGTCACTTTGAATATGTGACGAATCTAAAACAGGGATCCTTAATCCTTAATCCTTACTAACACAGCTTGCCATCATTTTGCCTGTCGCTCTGTAGCTTCGTGTTGATTTCAGTATCGCATTGGTTAGCAAAGAGAGATCACTCTTTGCCAAGTTTTTTTAAGTATGGAAGCCTTTGGGCAGTGTTGGGCTTCAGGGTTTAGGGATCGTGGTCTAGACAGATTTCCTGATGTTTTGCCAGCAACTGTGTCTGCATCCTCAGGGGTAAAATAGGATGCCAGCCACAGCTGCCAGCAAATATCAGAAAAGCTGTTATCTAGACCACAGTCACTAAATCCTGAAGCCCAGCTGTGCCCAACAGATACTAGCTATCAAAGACTACACCATGGAGATATTGTTTGCTACTTAGGAGCACAGGGAAGCCATGATATCTTTACATTTTCCTACCACCATTAAGACTGCATGGTTACATGTTCATGCCACATCCCACTAAATATGCATAGAACATGGGAAACAAATAGGAAGTCATAACTCAAGAGAAGATATGTGGGAATAGAGTATGATGGCCCCAGGGAAGCAAATAAGGAAAGCCATTATGCTGTCACAATGAATTTCCACCCTTTTGCACCCAGGTTGTAATCACACAAATACAAAAAGGGCAGAACTTGCACATCAAAGGCTTGATGCTGCTTCTATCCTTTTGATGAAAGCCTTCAATTTTGCAGATGTCTCTGATCACAGAACTTCCTACCTTACCTACACATTCACAGAATAAGAATAGAATAGAATAGAATGGAATGGAATGGAATGGAATGAATTGGAAGGGACTTGGAGGCCTTCTACTCCAACCCCCCCACTCAAGCAGGAAATCCTATAGCATTTCATACAAGTGGCTGTCCAGTCTTTTCTTAAAAACCTTGAGTGAGGAAGCACCTACAACTTCTGAAGGCAAGCTCTTCTACTGGTTAATTGTTCTCACTGTTAGGAAGTTTTTCCTTAATTCCAGGTTGCTTCTGTCCTTGATTAGTTTCCATCCATTGTTTCTTGTCTTGTCCTCTGGTGTTTTAGAATACTGGATGATATTTCCTTTACTCCCTGTCATGCATGTACACTCCTCTGAAATAGTAATATCACTTGCCAATAAGTCCATTATGAAAATGCAACAGAAAGGGTAAATTATAAAAAAGATCACAAAGCCCAGAGAATGCCTCATTGGATACAAACCTCCCTCGAGTGTTAACTCATGGGGAGGACCTTGCTTCCATACAAATGGATACATATGTACAACCTGAAAAATTGCAGATAGAGTCTGGGACAAAAAGATTCCTGCCTGAAACAGCAAAAAATACCTGCCAAAATTCTCAGCTACCGGTAGTTCAAAGATTATTTTATATCTTAATATAAAAGTTTATTATTGTATATTTAATTCTTTAGTTAAAACTAAAGATGTTTGCAAAACATCATCCAGAAGAGTTTTACCATCATATAATGATGAAGGGAAGAATCTGGTGCTTATAAATGTTTAGTTCACATTCCAATGCTTGTAAGGGATTTAACTTTATTGCTTTACTTTTGCAGGCAATCAGTTGCATGATAGTCAAATCCATTCTTACTTTCCTTATATTTCTTTTTTTAACTTGCTTAGGATCTGGACCACATACAGTTACATCTGGAAGAAGTGAGGTTCTTTGATTTATTCAGTTACAATGAAGAAGCGAGGGCTTGGCAATGTTTCATGTGTAACAATCCTGAAAAGGCAACAGGTAAGAGACTTTTCTTCAGAAGAACTGAATGATACAAATAATACAGATTCAGAATCTAATAAATGGTGTTCTGCATAAAATATCTGAATTATGCAATCATGTTATTAACTGTGAGAGCCTGCTTGGCGTAGAAGTTAAGGTTTACCTTTGCCTTGCTTGGAAAATTTGGCTGTAACTTTACCTAAACAAGATTAGATCATTATCATCATCATCAGGGGGAAAAAAGGAAGAACAAGAGCAAATTAAGGTAAAAATGACATTTAAAATCAAACATTTTTGGACAGTCTCTTAATATTCTGCCAGATCACTTTTGAGGTTGTACTTTTACCTGTGATTTCCATAGTGAAATGTAGCCATTCCCATAAGGCAGAATTCAATTATTGATGAGTTTTGTTATTTTAAAGCTCAAGAAATCGTATGTTATTTAGTTGAGTAAATGAAACATATAAATTAGGATGTTTCAGCACTGCTGACTGAATAGAATTAGAGATGGTTGGTTATTTGGGATTCTATCCAATTCACTTGGGTATGTCTAGTTTAATGAAGAGAAGGACGAGGGGGGACATGATAGCAGTGTTCCAATATCTCAGGGGCTGCCACAAAGAAGAGGGAGTCAAGCTATTCTCCAAAGCACCTGAAGGCATGACAAGAAGCAACGGGTAGAAACTAATCAAGGAGAGAAGCAACCTAGAACTAAGGAGAAACTTCCTGACAGTTAGAACAATTAACCAGTGGAACAATCTGCCTCCAGAAGCGGTGAATGCTCCAACACTGGAAGTCTTTAAGAAGAGACTGGACAGCCATTTGTCTGAAATGGTATAGGTTTCCTGCCTGAGCAGGGAGTTGGACTAGATGACCTCCAAGGTCCCTTCCAACTATTATTATTATTATTATTATTATTATTATTATTATTATTATTATTTACTTCTCTTCACTTTTCTTAATGACAGAAGAGCTTCTATAAGCAGAATCAGAGGGGGCAGCTGTCTTTCTTATCCTCCCATAGCCTTTTCAACACATTCAAAACCACCTTCAGAAGGTTTCTTAAGAATAGATTAGAATGGAGAATATTATTACAATAAATAGAGAGAAGTTCTGTCATAGTATTCAGTACACAGTATAACAGAATTGTGTATTGAATATTAACATGAGATTTCAGGATTGAAATAGTGTGAGATATAATGGCCACATCCAAACATCTAATCTAAAATTTGAGATTCCATATTTGACAAATTTAATGGCTGAGGCAATTCCACCATGCTGGAGAAAATTCAATAAATGCCCATGATACTGCCCTTTAAATAAACAGGTAAGATGTATTTATTTTAACATTCTTCATGCTGTTGTTTTACTTTTTTAACATTGATAGTTGCTTTGGCATATTGTTTACATAAACTTAATAAGATTTTGCAGAGCAAAGCAGGAATAATTCTTTTTGTTCTGTGGCTTTTTTAAGCTATTGGTAGATGATGGGCTCTATTTCCTTGTCAATTTCTTTTTCTTCTGAATAGACCTCAGCAAAATGGAATTGTACTAATTATTCTTTGGGGCCAATATGTTTGTACTGGAAACATTTCACTGTTTTGGGGAGATGGAGTTATGAGAAGTAAAACAGATGCCAGTTAAAATGACTTGCCATCTGAAGATGTGAAACCATTGAAATTATTCAGCAGGATAGAAAGAACTGGCAGTTAAGGAGTTTGGACAACTTTATAATGCTGACTGTTGACTATTATGCAGAGATGAAAACTTTTTTAAAAATCCATTAACATCATGCAGCTTTTTATTGTATTTCAACTGGCTCATTTTTGCTTCAGAATTAATTCTATGACATTTTCAAAGGGAAATGTATTCATTTTCCTCAGTAGCACATCTGTTCAAGGATAAGATCTAGACTGAATTATTATTTGGTTAAAGTGTGTTTTTTGCAATGGCCAAGCAAAGTGAATTAAAACTGAAATCATAACCACACCAACCAGAAGAATATGTTATTGATATTAATAAGATGTATTTAAAGTAAAAGTAGTGATGTTATTTTATTCTGGAACTTCCTTATATAATACAAGTTCAGTCATTTTAATATTGCGGTACATCTTGATCCTAATACCCTTTCTCCAAGATATATACTAAAAGCTCTTAGGAGTTTGCACAATCAACTTCCCTTTCAGTCTGTTTCCTTCTATTTCTCTTCCCTCAGCCCCACAATTCTACATGGTATATCCCAATTCTAAATTTATGTATGCTTCCAGATTTTGTTTTTATTCCTTTATATTTTATTCTGCTGCTGTTATTTTATCCAGAGTAGAAGTAATAGCTAGAAATACATATGGAGAGCAGTGGAAGGCTTGTATTTATTGGTCCTACATGCTTAATTAAGTTCTGCCTCATTGATCAGTGAAATGCTTGTTGACATAACTGTCCGCAATATTCATAGCAACACCAATTTTATTTATGTTCCTTTATGTTTCTCTGAATTACAAATGTAGGTTTCCATTCAACCGCACCGGCATTTTTGAAATGTTCTACAGCTCATTGCTTTTGGCAGCTCATGGAAGCAACTTCTTATGCTTTGTACATGCTCATAGGGAATATTAACTATAAGGGCTTTGGTGCTATCTCACCTTTACTTGCAGACATTTCATAACCAAACTCAGTAGTATCAACAGTGCTAGAAGGGAGTGTGTTTGGGATCAAGGAACTTCCAAAAATACTTCCACCAACAGTGACAGGGCAAGCCACTAGTTTATAAAAATAAGAGCAAACCCACTCCCTTTTAGTACTGATGATGTTATCTAGTTTGGTAACAAAACATCTGCAAGAAAACCATCAAAATCAGAGAGCACCAAGGACCCCACAGTTTAATCCTGAGCTACAAATATTCTCTTCTGTTGGTAATTGATCAGCTGCTTATCTGTCACTGTGGTTCTTCAAATGTAATCAGAAAAATCATCCCTGTGCAGGTAATTATTCTTGGGATATTTTGATTTCGTGAGTGCATGCCCATGAAAAAGTGATTTCCTCAATCTTTCCCAACACTATTCAGCCCTAGATAGTCTGACGGTACAGGAATGCCCACGTGGAGGCAAGAACAAATAAATGGAGAAGGATGGACACTGATAAGCAACATATTCTTTTTTCTGCAGTTTAAATATCTTAATATATTGACTGTATATAAAAGTCTGAATATTGTCTTTGCAGATCTGGATTCTCAATATCTTACTAGAATCTCAACATCATGAATTTCCTAAAGGGCATGTGTTGGCTGCTTTTGATAGTCCTTAGGAACAAAGTTCAGCTAAAAAGGCATTTAAGAGATCTGAATGTATAGTTTTATCAATTCCTGTCTCTCTCTGTTATTTAAAAGTAACCAAAGAGAGATAGAGAGACCACCAAACACTCTAATGTAGAACATACTGAATCAAATGTTTGACATAAAAAAACAGACCATATCAGGGGCTTTCTTTGCTCATTTCCTGCTGTCATAGCCAAAAATAAAATAGATTAATTTTCTAAATAGTCATCTGCCATATAGAGAGCATATAATTTTTCAGACCACTACAATCCTCACTCTTAAAATATATTTTAGAGACCATGTATATTCGTCAGCATGGCTCTTTCTTTATATGTTGCACTATAGCTCCCATTATTCTTAGCCAGGACATCTGGAAGGGCCTGATAGGACTTTGATCTTCAGTTAATAGTTTATTATTCAACTTACACCACCAGCATATCTTTTATTTGTTTATACGATATAGCTCATTCTCATGAGTACAAAAGTGCTGTGTAATATCTGTTTAAAAATAGCTTATCTATTTAGTTATGTATCTTTTGCTATGGACATTAGAGCAGGGATGGGAAGGGGAGAACGTGAGATTCCATTTTTGGTGACAGTTTCTTTTGATATCTATTTAAAGAAAGCTTTTTTAAAACACACACACACACACACACAACCCACTAGAATCTGACATCCTATTTCATCAGTTTAATTGTGAGATACCCTGAAAACAAAATTTGGACATACACGAATGCCATTTACACATACAATTCCATTCATACCATATAGACTCATTCATACCATACTTACTCATTTATGCACTATATGCACATTCCATTCATATTCCTTTCACATCCTTCTCCTCAATCAGAAAAGCAGATTTCCCATTTTTTATAAGAATTAACCAAATGATGATCACTGTGTCTTCTCTGATTTTCCTCCCATTCTTACATTTTCCCTCATCCCTATAACTACTTAAAGAATTAATTAGGGCTTTCTAATGAACGCTGTGAAAAGACTCAATGGTTGATCATGGAATACTCTTAGAGATCATCCTAATGTAATTTCTGTCTGAAGCTTGCAACAATTTACATTTCAGCATTTTCTTTACTTAAACTTATAATATAGTGGTACTAATGAAGGATAATATTTGTAGCTCAGGGTTGAAATGAGGGGTCCTTGGTGTTGTCTGAGATTTGTTGTTTTCTTGCAGACGTTTCATTACCCAAACTAGGTAACGTCATCAGTGTTAGACTAGCAATGATGATGTTGCCTAATTTGGGTAATGAAAGCAACCAAGCTCAGGGACCACCAAGGACCCCTCAATATATAATGGCTTAGTAAACATACTGTAAATAGGTAAAAAAAATAGTGACCTAAATTAATTATATACTTCAATCCAAACTTGGGTTAGGGGGCAACAGGAGAGACCTCAAAAAAAGTCTAAGCAAGTTTTGACCAAGAGGGGAATCCACCAGAAACATCAAGGTCATGCATTAGATTGAGAAGTGAAACAGGTCATCCTGGATGAAGGCCATGGCAAAGTGCTTCCATATTTTTGTTAAGAACCCTACATGGATATGTTTGGGTAGTAAGCAAGAGCCAAGGCTTATTCAAAGAAATTTTTACTATTTTTCTTTACTATAAAATATGGTTTCCAGGACTACAAGAAGCTTTGAACAGTGGGCTGCCCACCCACGATTTATAATATTTTAAACAGCAACTT